ACAGTGCAAAAAAGCACACCATTTTTCAAGTTTATGGGAAGACTCCATGTGCGAGTTTTCGCCATTTATACGGCGTGAGAGAGCCCGCGATTGTGAACCGAATTCCATTAGCATACAAGAGGCGAATGGGGCCGCGGTGGGATCCAAGGAGAGGAATTAAATTCATCATGAAGAGGCTCAAAACAAAGGCGTGGGTGTCGCTCGTCAATGTGTGACCCAGTAGCTGTTTTCGATCGCGCAAATATCTCCTCGCCACGATGATTTCAATAGAGGCCAATTTGGGGCGGAATTTCACTGTCAAACTGGACGGAATCAATATGCGGCTCTTCATCCGAAATCCCATCGCCAAAGATCGTGTCAATGTGATTTCCGTCGCCAGATGAATTGACTCCATTGTGCGCGCCATATAATCCACAACACTTTCTTCCAATTACTGGTCGCGCTGCCATCAAGAACATCCACTCACGGGCAAACTGGATGGGGAACAGGTCTTGCTGATCACGCAACAAACGCATAGCAGCCGCCAGCAATTGGTGACAGAGGAGAGAAAAGGTGGACCGGCACGAGGAGTGCTCCCAATTAGAATGTTAGAGGCGCTAATGGAAAATTTGGCCGAAAGTACCACAGCAATTCAGTGGAAATTAGGCGAGCGCCACGCTTAAGATCACCCAGTGTTGGAAAAGATTACCTGATATTTTAAGCGAGACCTCTAGCTTTATTGCCGGGCTGTTTTGTGAAGGCTAGAGATCGTTTTGAGGGCAGTAAGTGCTGAATATCGCGCTCTGAGTAAAAATCAATATTTGGTCCTTCGAGCCGGATGAACCATTTTTTCGCTGAGAGTTTAAGAACTTATTAAGCACGCTTTAAATCCGTCTCTCAGCTCTCGATCCCGATCAATTATGATAAAATCTGTCATAATCGAGAGCCGGAGCTGATCGCCTGACGAAAATGGCTTCACTTGTCGTCAAGGCATGACGCGAGTGATTCTATTATTGTTCACCAACGTTAAATATTGTCTCTGATCAATCGAGTTCCGGCTGTGGGCACTTAGAGCTTGCCTCCGCGGGCAATTCGTCAGGGTGTTTACATCAATTGACCAAGATTGAATGCATCGAATTTCAGCAGCTTCGTGTGAGATTTTTTTTCAAACATCCTGCAGCAAAATGGCTCTCTTTCTCGGCCGGAAAAGTAGTCAAACACACGACTTTTGTGCGGACCTGTTCAACGACCCTGGAATAGTTATTTGGTCAAGGTGGTGGTGGGATGCAAAGTGAACAAATAAATATATTAGCGCATTGGCTGTTTACCGAAGAAATTCACTATTGCCAAAAATTCAGCCAAAAAATCCTCCTAATCTCCAAGTGACACCTTTTTTCCAACACACTGACTCGCGAATAGACATTTTTCAACCACTTTTTCGCGCTTTTTTTTGTTCATCCAAAAGAGAGATAAACAAATTTTTTTGCCTCTCCTCGCTCACACACATGTGTGTAAAAACCACCGTCATTAAATCTAATAATCGATGTGCAATTAGCTTTTGGTGCGTGGCAATTAAGGCGATTACTGGGAAAAAACTTTCTAAAAAATTTTTGCCAACAATACTTAAAATGATACTTTTTGACAGTGGAAATATTGGGTGTGAAGCACTGTTCTAGATTCAATATAATTAGATCAGCAATCCGCGCAGTGGGAAATTGTCTGTATTGAATCGCTGATAAGATTTTTCCGGTTGCGTGGATGAATTGCACGCAATCAGTGAAGAATTGTCATGAGATTTTGTCCACTCGGGAGATGATTAGAAGGATAAATGCTCGTCCGGTTGATGTTTCGCTGATTGCACAATAATTGTTGGCATTATTACTTTGCAGCGTGAGAGTAAATATTCGATGGTTGTTAATTAATTAAGTCCCGTTAAGGCGTAAATTGACAATCTGCAGACTCGCTTCCCAGGTGATCTTCAATGGGGCCTCTTTTGTCCAATGAACCATGACCAATTGCTAATATCACAGTGAAAAAATCAAATCCATATTTCACGCGAATCGCGCGAAATGTGTAAGCTTTTTTTCTCCCTGGTCACGGATGAAAGAGCAGCAAAGTGGAAGAGAAGATTCCCATTGAGATTTGCAATGCATCATGCAGATGAACATCTGTTCCACCTTCGTCATAGTCGTTTTTTCCCTCAGCCAATATATCAATTCTTCCCAGGTTTTTTTCCCCAGTCTTGTTCCGTGTGCCAATTTATGTATTTACACCTCGATCAATAGTAATCAATTGGGCAAATAGACGGCAAGAGCGCGCTCGATGGTGTTCTCGATGGCCAGAACGCGCAGAAGTCATTTGGTAGCAATTGAGATGTTTGCTCTTCCTCTTCGGCAAACACAGGTGGACACTGACCGAATGTCCCATGATTTTACGGCAAGGTAAACACTCTTTTGTGTGTACTGTCGTGGCTTTTGTGGAAAAATCTTTCTGCTGATTATGCATTTCACAACTTCATCTGCCAGTTCACGGGACGAATCTGAGGCAGAAAGAGCTTATCAGTTTTATGTATCGCGAAACATGATCTCCTCACGAGATTCAAGCGAGTGATAATCGGGTCGTTTGACTTTCAGCAATATTCTTGTGACGGTTGGAATTCCTAGTGAAAATTAAAAATCATGTTTATATCAACATCGAAAAACTATAAATCTCCTGAATTATTCATTAATTGGTTTTTTAATAATATATCTTCATGTTAGACGATGATATAACGACCGAAGGAGCACTCCTAAGTCCATTTTTTACGAAATACTATTTGTGGAAAGTTTGTGTGTGCGAAAGATTTCGCTGGTGACTTCGCATCGCTGAATGTGTTTTCTAAGACTCACGGCGGTAAAAATAGAAATTCCCCATCCAGAGGGAATTTCTGGACAAACAGCCACGCTTGTGGCAACCTGGAAGACCCCAGAAATGCCCCTTGAGCGCGCAACATAACTCATAACATAAAGAGAGGAGAAAAAGAAATTACGCCGTGATACTCAACCTTGAACTGCATACAAATAACAATACCAATAATTTAGCATCGCCAGAGTGTTGGCGCAGCGGCAAAAAAAGTGCGAAAGAATTATGATTCGCGGGAATAATAAATAAATTTTGCACGGGAAAAATTCACAGCACACACACCCGGTATTATTCAAGTGAGGTGAGAGTTTTGAGGCGAGCTCGCCAGAATTGTCATGATTCTCGCATTTTTGCATCGCGAGAGTTCTTCAGTAAACACACCTGTTAATATTGTTGGAAAACGTCGAGTGTTCTCATCTTCCATGCGCACTTAATTTATGTGCACCAAAGAGTGAATTATTAATGCCAGTTCTGCTTCTTTTTCTCTCACTTCACGTTGAACATTGTTGCACATTATGCTTATATGGCAATTCCAATGAAGATATTGACAATTGGCGTGAGTGAGAGGAATTCCAGGATTTTCACTGACATTTTCAGCATTTTCCTCTACCAGCAGTGCGCACACGCACCAAAAATAGATGCGAATTTATCATTAATTATTTTTACATTTGCAAAATGGAAGCCTGGAAAATGCCAATATATCGACTTAGAAGTGCAGCACAAATTGACACACGCTATTTTTGCTGTGATACGAGGAATTTTTTTCTCTCTCCCTATCTTCTCAATACCTTTTTAATAAATAATAAATTAAGTTATGTGTGAGTGTGTGAAAATGTCGCCAAACACGTTAAACGGATTTCCACCAAATGATCACACAAGTCTGGTTTGGTTCGTTTGTGCGTAATTACTAATCGCGTGTGCAGCTCTTTTTTTTCTCTCCACCATCATACACTCAACACACAGTCTGGCCGTGTGTATTGGAAATATTTTATTAAATGAAATGCATTCATAATCCAATATCGAACGCGATTTGCGGTGGAAAATATAATGGTTCGACGCGAGGCGCTCTTTTCAGTTGGTGGTCGAGGAAAAAATGAGACACGGAGCGGCATTGGGATGTTGCATAACCAGCCTTTTGGTGTTACAAGGAATAAATTAATCAGCGGAGTATCGACGAATTGCATCTAAAATTGTAATTTTGTAATTTTTCACGCTAGATGACTTTGCAATTCGACGGCATGCCGAGTTCCGGGTTTTCCTCACACATTCTTCGGCACACTTTTGCGGAAAGTTCTTGGCAAATTCTGTGCTTAGAATTCACAAGAAACGCGCCACAAGATTGTGTAGAAGAGTATTTTTCTTATGTGTCAAAATACAAAATTGCAATCTTTCCAGAAAGATTCCTCAATTTCTCCAAGTCACACATCTTCTCCTCGTGATCTTCTTCTGCGATCAGTCGCGGTGTGGCTTTTTATCTGGCTATGGGCAAATTCATCTGTCGCGAATGAATGTGCTTTCCTCTAGCTTGAATATTGAATATTTCGGTTGATGTACGGAAAAGCGGAATTTCACTTTTTTTCCCCGCAGCAAAACGCACTCTTGCAAGTCAATCTAAACGACATCGTGCCATATTTCTTCTGCACGGCAGTTAGAGATAAATATATGGGGAGAAGAGATCGTAATTAGTGATTTATCGCCAATGCATTCGAGTGCATCTTAAGTTATTTGAAAACGCACTCTCAGGGGAGATTCTCCGGTCCACAGTAGGACGGAAAGCCGAGTGGTATGTTGAGTGGTTGGAAAAATGCCACCGGACCCGCTCCAAGTGACCCGTTCAAATGAGATTATTAATTATTTTCTGCACATTCTTGCCGCGACATTGAGGCGAGTCTCTGTGCGGAATGAACTGTATGGAAAATTGCGGCGAGCGGGAAAAAAGAAACTCATCTTCAGTGTGCAATTCGTGTCCATTGGCCAGCGTTGGAATATCAATAATGAGAAATGCATGCGTCCATCTCCACTTCCCAATGGAGGGAAAGTGATAAACAAGAATGTCAATTGGCATTCTATCTATGTTCGCGCAGACGCGATGACGCGAGAGAAAAATGCGAAAAACTCACCGATTTTCTGCACAGTTGATGAAATTAATGATGCAGTTGCATGCAACTGCTGTGCCGAAAAAACCAGCTCCGTCACTCTCTGCGCGCACTCCTAATCAACGGCCAATGCAACTTTCTGCAATCGGTCAAATGCTAATCCATCGACACCTGCTTCGACACACCGCACGAAAAATCCACACACAAGCGCGAAAATGTTACCTTTTCCACCGCGAGTTTCCTCACCGAAAACCAATCCTCGAAAGCACAATTGTAAAAAAATTTTATAGTGTTTTCGTGCAATTATCCACTAATTTATACAATTCGCTATCATCACTGAAATTCAGGCTTCTTCTTTTATTCAATAAATGTTGCTCATCAGAGAGAAGAAATCCATTAAAATTGTATTGTGTTTCAAACTCTGTCTGTTTCTCTGGTGGCTCTTTTTTTTCGTTAGAGAGCTTTCACATTTTTCCACAAAAGTGTCTCTTGGGTTTTCTCGCTTGTCCGATGGATATTTTTTTACTTGGCTCGGTTTGTCAGTGGGAAATTCCTCAATCACCAAAAGTAAGCACACACTCTGCAGAGTTTTCACGCTCGACTGTCTAAGGAGAGTTTGCGGAAAAGCACACTTGTGAAAATTCCACTTGATAGTTCGCAAAATTGAGCTGAGGAATTTGAAATTGTTGCAATTCCAAATGGAAATTCAAGAGCTTGCATAAGCGACACACACACGAGTTGGCGGAAAAAGAGGGAAACTCCTCGGATGGCTAGTGGCGATGCCTCTGGGGGCTGCGTCCGGATGGCAGTGATCGGTGGTGGATTCTCACGGAAACACACACTCCGCTTTGAGTTCACACAACACTCTGCGATCGTTGGGCACAGACGATTGCTGGCGTACCTCCAAACCGACTGACCGAGTAATACAGTCAACAGTGCTGAGCTCCGCCGAGGCCGTTGCCAGCATTGCCAACACCTGGAGGAGCCCCACACACTCTCCGGCGGCTCCCATCCGGCCACGGTTGCGCCTGTGTGCGAGATTCGAGCACCGAGAGTGGCGGGAGGCAGCCAACCAGCGCCCAGATCTCCATTCCACCGCGATCCGGGGAGCCCGGCTCCGCGATCCGCGAACCAACACACCCGCGAGCGGAAAGAACTGTTTGTAGCGTGGGACACATACGGCCAAACACCACCGGGCCACCCTTAAGCCCCTCTCCCCAGTGTCGCCCGACGGAGAGCCGTCCCGGCCCCGAGCTGGCCCCGCGCGGCCCGCCAAACAGGGCAAATTCCCGGCGAAGTGCGGAAGAAAAGTCCGCGCTGCGCAGCTTTGGAGCCACCCTGCGTCGTAGAGATTGTTTTGTAAGAAAAATACAAGAGCAAAATGCCTTCCTCCAATTCCGAGGCAACGGTTCTTATAGTATTCCCCGTGCTCGGCGACCGGTTCTTTTAGCATCTCAGCAATTTCACATACCTACTCTCGTAGATAATAGAGGAGTATCTCATCACAAGAGCTCATGCCAGCAAATACAGGCACGGTAGAAATTTCCATGCGCATGTACGTGCGATGTGAGGTGGAAAAAAAGAGTGGTGAGACAGGTAAGAAAAGGTTCACTAAATCAATTCCCCATGAGCGCTACAAATACACACCGAGGCATTAGTTGAGATGCGATTTGGTGTATTGAGATGGGCGCTTTTACTATCACTACAATTATGATTATTGCTGTGCGAGACGCCATAAAAATGATATTAATTTCTTTGGTCATATCCATAGCGGAGGAGCGCCAATAAAAGTGGCGTCAATTGGCAAGGTGAGGTGATGAGAGCTCTGATGGAGGAAAAAAAGCCCAAGCAGAAGCACAGATAGAAAATATTCAATATCTCTCTGTGCAATATTTAATGTTAATCAAGTAATTATAGGCACTACATGGGTATGGGAAACATTTTTCAATATAATATCGAAACAGGTGAAAAATTAGCGAGTTGCACATTAATTAGTTCAGTTGGTATGCCATATATAGGAATACTATTAGTCGTTCCAAACCGCCACAAATATATATTGTACAACTCTGTAATTATTTCTATATACACTCCCCGCGTGGCTGTGCCATTGTAAATATCACCCATTAATTATTTATAAGTGCGGTGTGAGATTCACCTAAAACAAAACGAAAGACTCCATCGCAGCCAAGCGACGAACCCGCGTGATAACGACGCTCCGGTGCCCCCGGAATTCATTTCTCATCGCTCGACATCCTCACCAACACGCACAATTAATGATAGATATGTGATCAAATGATGTCAAATGATGTATTCAAATTAATTAACTTGATTTTCGCGTTTGCTTTTTGCCTCCTCGCGCTGTGTTTGCCGAGAGTCTCAAGGGAAAGAGAGCTCGCATAGGCTTTGAGAGCATACAAGACACGATGTTATGATTCTGGTGTCCATGAATCTTGCACTGTTGTCGTGATTATTTATTATATCACCGCGTGGTTTGCATATCAAAATGTGGATCAATTATAAGAAAAATTTCAATATACACAGCTTATAGCCCTCCTCTTGCCTTTAACACTTGAACACACACACGCCGAGTGATATTATGCTAATCGCTAGGCGATCATTTACAACTGCTGAGGGGCGGCAAAGGCACTCGGCCAATATCTCCATATCTAGCTGTCAGGTGAAATGCCAGCTCTATTGGTTGGCCCCTCGGCTGTGGCATTGCACGTTTTGCATGGGAAAGAGAAGACTCGATTATGGTGCAGCTCTGCCCTGTGTGATCACATTGAAAATTCAGCAAATAATTAATTAGTGTTTTATCAGAGGAAAACCGTGGTGATGCATTAATTCCGCGGGAATGATCTAAAAGAGTCTCTCGTGTGAAATTTATTGTCCCTGCTTCTCGCCACAGTATTTTCAGCGCCATGAGATCCAGTTCACTTGTGCGATCGCTAGCCGAAGTTAGAGGCGCGAAATCGAGAAACCAAGCCAGAGTGGCAGTGAATTATGTTAAGTAGATCACGAAAATCATTTTCCGGCCGGCCGTGTTTTGACTCATTGCAAGAAAAACCAAAATTCAAGGTCCGGTTTTCGATTCATCACTTCACTATTCAATCTGTTGCTAGCTGAAACTCAAAGTGACCTTTAGCAACTTTAAAGCTTGATGCTTAAGTCTAAATCTAATAGATTATGTTGCTAATTTCTTTCACTAAATTGGGACCAAAATGAAATGCGTAAAGCCAAGAATTTGTCACAAAAGCTCCTGTGATCACAGAATTGATTCGTAAAATCTCACCTCTGCGCAAGCTGATCAAAATGCACGCTTACCTACTTTTTTGTTTAATATAAAAAAGCTCTCTCACATTTAAAAGAGCGCAAATATACATATTTTGGAGGCCATCTTTCTCATATTCAATTACACATTTGGTGATAAAAAAGGAGTTAATTTCAAATAAATTAACATTGCTAATTGGTTGTGAAGAATTTTTCAATATTCACTCAATATAAATTGGCGAATTGTAATTGATGAAAATGTGAATTTCACCGCCTCTCAAAGAGTGTGAGCAAATTGCCGGTGTGAATTAATAGACAATTTCTTGGGGCGCACTTTGGACAAAAGACAAATTTATGATTTTCTCTCGCGCGCAGGCCATCAAATTCGGTTTTGTTGCTCACACGCCTAATTGACAGCCAAATTCGTTCAATTTCCAAACCGAATCTGTTTCAATTTGGGCATTTCAAGGGGGTCTCTCTCTTGGGCATGCTATATAGTGAAAGACAACGAACCATTTGTAGCCCGTAATCCTATTCGACCCATAAAATCTCCGCACAAAATATAAATTAAGGCCCGCGAGATTCGATTTCTATAAATAACAAATGGGGTTTTTGTACTTGTTGCTCATGCCGCGAGATCAGTAATTTCTTGTAATACGCGCGTATGTCTTGCAATGTTATATGGGCAACATGCCGCCAAAATCGACAAATTGCCAAAGCACTTTGTACGCCCGGCACCGTGGCAGAAAAACCGCTTTGGAAGTCACTTTAGTGTGCCAAAAGAATTAAGAGCACCGTCAATTCGTGCAAATGCCACAGTCGAAATTATTATTGTTGGCAATTATTGACACTATAGCCAGCAACACTGGGCGCAGAATTGCACTCCGCGAAGCTCGGCAGCCCTCAAATTATGCCACTTTAAAATTCAATTGTGCGTTTCCCATAATGATACTCTTTCCCATCCCATGTTTTTATTCGACAGGATAAATGATCATCCTCGGCGGTGCCACTGGTGAGGAGTTGCTCTTTTTGTCTCTTCCGCTGACACAGTGAATGCATTCGTGAAAATGATCGTAATTTATAATGCATTTTTGTCTGTTTTGTGCGCCATAAACACTCTTGCCGAGATAAGATGCAAGGTTGCGAACAGTGGGTAATTCCGGGGATGGCGAGCCGATGAAATTTTAGTGGGAATTTTTGGTAAATTTCACAAAATTGCCCCGTCCAATGTTGCAAATTACTTTGTGGTTGCCGCAATTTATGCACAAAAACAATCCTAAGTATGCAAATCTCTCCTCGGGACGACCTTCCATGTAATTTTTGGTACTTTAGCGCGAGATACGAATGTAATGCATTTTGGAATAATATCATGCGAAAGTTGCGTGTGTAATTGCGACGCGATTTATTTCATAAAAATATTCACTTTTTTATTTTACTCTTTCTTTTGGCACTTCTTTGTATATTTATTGTAATTCACTTCTCTTGCGGCGAGCAATTTCCTTTTTTTCCCCACATCACTTTTTAGCTGGTTCTTCATCTGGAGGGGAAATATTACTCTTATACGCCGAAGAGATGCAGAAGTTAATGCCGAAGACAACACAGTGGCGAAAAAGTAACCCTGCCGTGACGATGTGAAATAATAATATTTTTAATAATGTGTCAAAATGCACGGCAACATCACACCACGAATCCATCGAACACGGAATTATTTCGACAATTTCTTAATTCACATTAATTACACGGGCGGCATTGGATTGCTGGTGGTTCTCTCGCATTTGTCGTTCCGTGGGCCTTTTTCCACACTCGCGCACTATCTTGGCCCAGGTCTACAAGAAAGGAAACTTTCGCGCTAAGTGTTTTAAATTTGGTGTGTGTATTACTTTTATTTGTACAAATTACACTTCTTTATCTCTCTTGCGCGCATGTTTTTCGCCACCTGAAAAATCCCATGCACGGCGCGACACTCTTTGGCGGAAAGCTCGCGAGCGACAGC